TCTCCCACCTCTTGGGCTGGAGACCTCCCTCCATTCAGAGTGCAATCTCTTAACTCAAAAGCATGCTGCAGAGACTGGGGGATACAGTACACCCACCATGCTGCCCACCAGACAAGGCAGCTCAGCTGGGGGCTCCCCTAGTCAGCCAAGTGATTCCTGCCACGCTGCATGCACCCTGCCCGTCAACCTGGCTCAGCCCAGGACCCGCGAACGCCCACCCAGCCAGCATGCTCACCTCCCGGTTCAGCTTGCCATCAACTCTGGGAAGTCTCAAACTGCAGACAATTCATCGGGGGTTACTCGGTACCTTCTAACTAGTGTTACGCAGTGATTATCTGAGGCTATTGATACTGGCTTTAATCAGTAATTACAATCCTCACATAAAATATTTAATAACTATTCATAATACCAGAAATTTGATTAAGGTCAGAGCATTTTTCTTGGATTTCCACATGGTCTCCTGAAGGCTCAGCTGAGTTTATTCCAAGCAGGGATGAAGACAGTCGACCCAATTACCCACCAAAGGCAGTGGAAAACAGCAAAGTCATAGTCATCAACCTTGCTCCTCTGAAATGCTTCGTAGCAGCTCCTGGAAATGGGCGAAGGCCACCGACAGATGAGTCACAAAAAAAGGAAATACAAGTGGCAACAAATCTGTGGGAAAATAATTAGCCTCACTGGGAATCAAGAAATATTCATTTAAATCAGACACTGTTTCTTTCATCAAATTGGCAAAGAGTTGTTGGACAACTATGATTCTGCTGCTGTTGGTATAAAAAAAAAAAAAGCAACTGTCTCTGGGCCATGACAACCTCGTCTGCCTCATTCTTCCCCCATCTGAAAATGCAACTGTCCTGCAAGGAATCACTTCTCAGCCTACTGCATCGTGTCAGAGGACATGGAGCTCTATTTTCATTCCCTCTGTCGCCGCCAGCTACAGAAAATGGCCAGAAGTAGAGCTGTGACCCAAGATGGCAGGTCACAAAGGCCCCTCACTGCCTTCAGTGATTGGTCAGGGACAGGCACCTGACCTGGCCGGGGTAATAAAGTGCCACCCTGTGATCTTTCAACCTGGGGTCAGAAAGAACAGCTTCCATCCCTCTCCAGTGGAGAAGCTGGGCCGTGTAAGCCAGGGCCTCACTGTGACACAAGCGTAGGTTTCTACAAGCCAAGACCTAGGCTAACAATGAGCTGGTTAAGTCTTCCTGTCGTACACAGTGGCAAACGGGTACCCAGGCCACAACCCTCAGGCCTCTGCCTGTTTCACTCAGAAACGACAGTAATTTGCCTGAGCTCTCATCCCAGCCGTCGTGAGCGCAATCTAAGAAACGCAAGCTGAGCGTGAAACTGGGCCGCCATCTTCCTCTGTGGGAGGGAGGAGGAGCAGCGCCCCTCTCTGTCAGAGAGCCGAGATGGCTGGCCAGAGAACACCCTTCCATAAGAATTCAAACTACTGCTTTGCAACATCATTCTGAGACTCAGCACCACCCCACTCACACACACAAAAGGCTAAACGGGTTAGCTTTTGAGAAGTAATTTGCAAACTTCTAGAAAGCCCTTTAGGGATGCTACAGTTTGGATCTAGAATGTTCCCCTAAGGCCCGTACGGTAAAGCTTGGTGCCCAGCCCATGGCGCTGCCGGGAGGGGATGGGACTTTTAAGAGATCAGGAACAGGAGAAGGTTTCAAGTCCTCCAGGGCATGACCTCAAAGGAGTTTGTGAGGCCTCAAGTTCTTCCCTTTCCCCCCACATCCTGGCCATGGAATGAACAGTCTTGCTATGCCATGTGTTCCTGCCATATATGTGCTACCCCTTCCCCTAGCAGAGTCCTAAAAGCAGTAGGTCCACCCAATCATGGACTAAAACTGCCAAAACTGAGCCCAAATCAACATTTTATCTCTATAAGTCGATTGACTTCAAGCGTTTGTTACAGAAGCAGGAAGCTAACACAAGGTGTTGGAATCCAAGGGAAAAATAAAATTACTTTCATGGAGTTCCTTTTACCAAGTGTAAAGGAAACAGTAGAAATTCCTTCCCACCCTCACCACTACAATCCACCCCATTCTACAGTGATGAGCTCATGGGCAGGACTTGGAAAAGCTCCTGCTGTTTTGGTGGACCTGCATTTCTCTCCCCTGCAGTCAGACTCCCTGAGTTCAAACCCTGCCTCTCTTACTTACTCATTCTATGGTCTTGGGCACATTGCTTAATCCCTCTAGGCTCAGCTGCATCCTTTGAGTTATGAGGTTGAATTAAGGAATGTTTTCAGGAGATTAGTCCAGCACTTTGCAGCAGGGGACGCCTTAGATAAATACTAGCCATTGTCATTAATAATAGTACCAATGATCTAACAATGCAAGTATAAAATAGATGAGTAGGGCATACCTGGTGAGAAACAGCTTCAGCATTTGAACAGGTGGCCTGTTGATATTTATAGCTACCCTACCCACATACTGACTCTATTTTATGGATACATAAACTGAGGCCAGAAACAAAGTGCTTGCCCTGAAACCCCCGTCTCTAAAAGACAAAGCAAAGCAGGGCTAAAGGTCCCACACTCATCTTTCCACTCTGGGGAGAACACCCATTCTTAGAAGAGTACTGGTCAGGGAAATGCACTTTATAAACATAACGTGAGCTAGGCAGCCCTGGAATCCCATCCTGCAGCTGAGAAAACTATGAAGCTACAGAGGACAAGTAAGTTATCCGAGGTCACACAGTGCAGCAAGAACACTGTCAAAATCCCAAGCTGGTGATATTAATAAGTCATATCACTGCTCTCTCTACTCCCAAGAAAAAGCTTTTGTTCTTGCCTGGCAGCAAGGCAAGAACTAAACAGGAGCCAGTGAAATGGTGATTTGGGGGAGAAGAAAGATACAGACCCCAGGGGAGCAGAGACATGAGGATGATGACGACCCAGCCCACGGGGACCATTTTTCTGCTCTAGAAGGGACAGACCCATCCGCATCACACAGTGCACTGCCACCTGCTCTGCACAATCAGTTTCACAAACCCTGCTGAGCTCGGCCACTGAGGACTGTTGCTGAGGATGGTGTGGACTTCAGTCACTGCCACGCTGTCCTCTTCCTTCCGATGCTGCCCGCTCCACAGACAGGCAGTCTCAAAGCCAAGAGACCAGCTCCAAATGGAAATACATCCTCACTCAAAAAGAGACCAGACAGACCAAGGGTGACCCACCAAAGGAGACCAGGCCTAGGAATCCCTGAAAAGACATCTTCAGCAGGTAACTCACCTTTCACCCTTCCCAACCCTCACAAGGCTCAGATGGACCACCCAGATCCCCAGTTCAATGCCCACAGGAATGAGGGGAGAAGGAGGTAGAAGGTGCCCACCTCACAGAAGGGCAGCACAAGGTCCAGCAGGGAATGAGAAGTATTCACAGGACCCAGAGCGTGAAGAGCAGAATCAAGGGCCAAGCTGTGTGGCTCAGAGGACAGAAATCACGGCCTTGTCTGGGACCAGCCATGGTTACTGAAGCCCAGTAGAAGAGATGACTTGCATGGTTTGTTTGCAGGGGTCACAACCAGCTGCCTCTTCTCCCAGAGGGTCATGGGCTGACATCTAGCTGGCAGATGCCAGCCCCATGGGAGTCAGGTTTGTGCTGCTGTTGGGCAGGAGTTAGGAGAAGCATAACACCTTCAAGGGATTTGTGGAGCCACCATGTATCTAAGCATTCCTGCATGAGTTCAGGCACACGTCTTTCTGCTGTAGGTCACAGGAGCCAAAGAGTCACCACCCCACCTGGGCCCCTAGTAGGGCCCTGTGTTCTCAGAGCATCGGGATTCCTCTGTGAACAAGCCCAGTCCCTGTTTTCTATAACTCCCAGAAGGCCTTTTCCTCCTTGAGTGCCACAAGCAAAGCAGGCCATCATGTACCTTACAGCTTCCCTCCCTCGGCTAGGCCTGCATTCCAGACCAGCCCACTTTTCTGAAGTAGGGAGGGAGGGATGTTTTCTGTTTTAATGGCTGCAGTTAAATGTTTCATGGGCAAAAACTGAGGCCAGATCACTTTATAATCATTCTTCTGGCTCCTGCATAATTGATGTCCCTTATGCACTTTTCATGATCTAATTTATCTACTTTCTAAAATATTTTGTAAAACCTGAGTCCCATCTGTAATGATCTATGTCCCATTATAAAGTCTACGAAAGGATTTGCTACCCAAGCTGTATTTGTGGGCATAAACTAAGCTGTGTTAGGTGGAGGCAAGATTGTTTCTACGGGGGACAGAGGGAAGCAAATGTAGCCTGCGCTTGGAAAACACAGCTAGGGAAGAGGCAGGGTAGGTGGAATTCCCCAGAAAGGCTTGCCCTGAAAAGGGAAGGTGGAGACTGAGGGAGCAGAGGGGACTTCCTAGGGGCAGCTAGAGAAAGACCACCTGTGTGGCCCCATCAGATGTCAATGATGACAGCAAAAATAACACAGAAATAATGATAGCAGCTACCATGCTGTTCAGACTAAATACCGGGCACTGTGCTAGCACTTTCCAGGCCAAGGTAAGGTAAGATGAGGACTATCCCATTTCACAAATAAGAGAACTGAGGCTTGGGGAAATATGATAAGTCACTTGCTTGAGGTTCACAAATGGGGATGATGAGATTCAAACCCGAGCAGTTTGATCCAGAGCTCAGGCTCCTAACCTCTGCACCACTCTACGTCTCCGGGTGAATCTGGCTCCTAAAACATGTCTGTCCCATAAACCTAGAAACCCCTGAGTTTCAATACCCAATAAACTAGATTTTTAGGCAACAGTTACCAGATTCACTTAAAAAAAAAAAAAGACATCTAATGTAATGTGAATCTCAGATAAACAGCAAATAATTTTAAAATATTATTCATTCTTTACCTGAAATTCAAATGTAGGGCTAAGGACGTAGCTCAGTGGTAGAGCACTTGTCTCACGTGCCTAAGTCCCTGGGTTCAACCCAAACCCTAAAAAAGAAAAAAAAATCAAACGTGACTGAGCAGCTTCTATCTTACCTGTCAGTCTTGTTTGGGATACTCCCAATGTGTACCAGTCTGTGATGCAATCTCTGGAACCACAGAAAACTGGGAAACAAGAGACAGCCACAGTGTGAGCCAGATCTGGCTGGTAGAGGGCCACCGAGCAAGAGCTGCAGAGGAGCACAGGATCTCAGCTGGTCCAAGATGGGGGGAAGAACAGCCACAGGAAGAGAGAGAGGCTGCCCTCCCAGCACACCCACTCCCCAGCTGCGAGCTCCACACCCTGCACTTCCGCTCCTGGGTGCAAGCAAAGACTCCTGGCTGGAGCCAGCACCTAGAGACTCCAGGGTTGGCCCAAGTTCAGACCAAGTCTGTCTCCCAGGTGACATTGCCCAGAGCGAGCCACCTGCTGTCCAGATGCTGACCGAAGCCAAGGAACTCCCTATGCACATCCCCTCCCTGCTCAGCCCTCCCTTCCTTAGGAATCCACCTGCCCCACCTACCAATCTCACCCTTTCTGAGCTGTTCTTAGAATTTATCCCTTACAACAAACGTCTGCCCATTTTATTATTTACTGTGCATGTAGCACACAGCCTAGAACACAGCTAGTGCTTGCTGAATGAAGGAATGAGAGTTACTGTGGTTTTGTCCAACACCCTGCTTTCTATACATCTAGTTCCCCAGCAGAGGGAACCCAGGGCTGCCCAAAGAGGCAGAGTGAAAGCCCCTCAAGAGAGGCGTGCTGTTGTGTCTCCCGACACCCTCAGCACTCAGCCCAAGGCCTGCCTCAGAGGAGACTCAACTACGATTTTTTTTTTTTTTGGTACCGGAGATCGAACTCGGATCCTTGTGCCTTCCAGGCAGGCAGCAGAACCACTGAGCTAAATCCCCGGCCCTCAACTTCGATTTAATAGAGAAGTGGCTACCAATGGGGAAGACAGGGACATGGTGGGAGAGTCCAGACCTGGGAACGTGCCTCTCTCCTGGCTTCCACGCGTGGCTTGGACAAGTCATAAACGCTCTTTCCTTTGGTTTCCTTCGCTGAGGAGCCAGCCGTGAGCACATGGCTATGAGTGCTGGGATTGTGCGGTGATTACGCCACCATTGTAATATTGTATCTTGCGCCTAGAGGCACACAGAAGGCTGGGAGTGAGTGTGGTTGCCTTAAAGCTTTGGTTCTTTCCAAGTTCCACCTGCCCCAGCAGCCTCCCAGCCTGGGACCCGCCCTACCCTGACAGTGATGAGCTCCCTCTCTGCTAGCCCAGCCATGGGGTGCTGCTCATATCTCTGTGGCTTCTCGAAGTCCGGTTGCCTTGAGCTGAAGCCAAATAAAGATGGATATTCCCTCTCTCACTGCAAACATAACACCTCAGTCAATCTCCTGGCACCTGAACCAGGCTCATTGTTCTTACTCGGAATTCCACAGATGCTTCTAAACACTTCCATTACTTCTGAAGTTTTATTTATGGTTTTTGTTAAACCTTTACTTTGAAGTTTGCCATTTTAAACATTCCCTGACTGAGTGAGATTTATTTGGGTTCCTCTCACAGAAGCTACCTGTAATGGACAGAGCTAAAATCAATTTATAGGCCTCAAGAGCAGCTGACAACTCATTTTTATTGGGAGAGGGTTTTCTCAGGAAAGGGGCAGGAAACATTACCACCCTAGAAACTCCTCCAAGAGGCTACAGTGCTGGCACCTTTTCTGTCCTTTCGCAATTATGGAGTTTCTTTGTTTTTGTTTTTTTTTGGTACCGGGGATCCAACTCAGGACCTTGCTTGCTTTCAGGGCAGGTGGCAGCACCGCTAAGCTAAATCCCTGGCTGTCCTTTCAAAACCAGCTCAATCAAGCAGCACTAGAACTGCTTCTCACCGGGCCAGAAATGGAAATGGGTACACCAGACTCAGAGGGCTCAGTGTGCTCAGGGGGACATGCGCTACAAGTCAACCCAGTGATTCAAAAGCAGCCAAGACAGGAAGTAGCAGCAGAGCAGCGGAAGTCAGCCATGTTGCAAATTCATTCAGTGTTCTAAACTCCCCTTTTGACAGAAGCCTTGCCTGCATCTTTTCAGGCCTTATCAAATAAATTAGGAAATCTCTTTCTTTGAAGATCAGTGGTATAGAAAGGACTTTGAACTCTTAATATCAGGCATTAGCTGGATAATGTTACGTTTTATTAAGAATGAAAAGAATTTACCAATTTTCTTCCTGAAATTCTCTCTGGACTCCATAAGGAAGGTAATCACTAGATAATTGCTCAACGACTCTTCTGGTCCATTCAAATCTATTGAATTGTTTAGAGAGGGAAAAGGCAGAAGTCCCTTGAGGGACCAATTACTAAAATGCTGGGACCTGCAACTCGGCAAAAGGCACAATTCTGGAAAAAGTCGGGATACCAAAGAGACTGGGTACATGAGTTAGTGCTGTGAAAATAAAATACCACAGTTAGGGTGGCTTATATATCAGACATTTGTTTCTCACAGTTCTGGAGGCTCACATCCAAGATCAAGGTTCTGGCTGATTCTGGTTCCGCTGAAGGCTCCTTTCCTGGCTTGCAGATGCCCATTTTCTTGCTATGTCCTCAAAGGACAGGGGAAGCTCTGCTGTCTCTTCTCATAAAGACACTAATACTGTTGGATCCAAGGCCCCACCCTTTTGACATCATTTAACCTAAAGTACTTCCTTAGAACCCCACCTCCAAATGCAGCCACACTGAAAATTAGGGCTTCAACATACAAACTTGGGGCGGACACAGACATTTGGTTCACAGCACTGGATTTGCCACAACTTGGCTCTCTGCTTTCAGGAAATCCCTCTTCGGGGTTTCATTTCCTACCCACACCAGGTGGTCCAAACCTGGCCATGTTCTCTGCCCTTACTCTGTGCCTCCTCGGTCCCCAGGACACGCTACAGGAGCCCCCAGCAGGGCCGAGTGCCTCTTCCAAAACCACAGTTCTGAGTCCTTTTCCTACTCAAAACTTCAGTAGCTCCCCTACCACACAAATAATTACGTCTGTAATTCAGAAAAACGTCATATGCATGATCAGAAAAAAAACCGTGAAGTCAGGTAGATCCACATGCAAATTCTGGCTCTGTGAGTAACTGTGTGACCTTAGGTAATTTATCTCTCCCCTCTGAACCTCAGGTTCCTCATCTGTAAAATGGAGAAATGACAGCTCTTACTTCTTTGGTTTGTAGCAGAGACAAAGAAAAGGAATGCTGGGAAGTGCTTAGCAGAATATCTGACATTTAAAACTTCAAAAAAAAAATTAGTGCTGATTCTCAATATACTTTCTAGGGATCTCTTAGTGATCTCATCCTATCTCATGACTTTAATCCTATCTAAAAGCAAATGGCCCTTAAACTTATAACTCTGGCCCTCATCTCTCTCCAGAACTCCATACAGGGAAATCCAGCTGATGTATGTATATGTTGAAATATCACAAAAGTAAAATATCAAGAAAAAGAAATCTCCCATGTTGAGAATTAAAGCAGCTCTCACCACCCCCACGAGCCACAGCCGCCAAGCCACTGCCGCTCTCTGCTTGGGGCTACAGCAGCCTCTAACCTTTCTCCTGACTCCACCCCTGTCACACAACACACAAGACCACACCTTTAAAACAGCAGCCACTCTACGCGGCTCTGCTCAGAACCCTCTAGAGGCCCCAAGCTGCTCAAGGCCAGCCCGCCGCTGTCCCCTCCATCCCTCTGCCTCGGCCACACTGGCCTCTGTGTTCCTCAGTGCACAGGCACATTCCTACATTAGGCTCTTGGGCAACTGCTACTTCTTCTGCCTGGAGTGCTCTCCCCCAGACAGTAGCCTGGTTAATTCTTTACTTCCTTCTCAAAGTACCCAGAAGTCATCTGTCCAAAGAGATCTACATTGCTACTCTGGTCAAAATTGCAACCTACAAGGACACACACACACACACACACACACACACACACACACACACACACACGGTGTTCCCACCCCCTGTTCTGTTCCACTCATTTTTTTCCTTGCACTTACATCTTTCCAATATACTACAACGTTACACATATTTACCTTTTCATTGTCTCTTTCTCCATGCTAGATTGTCAACTCACAAAGGCAGGGTGTTTCTGTTTCATTCACAGCTATGTGTCCCTTCCCTAACATAGCATCTAGCACAGTAGTCCCTCAGTAAATGCTTGTTGAATGAATGCAAGTCCACTCACTCACTTATACATGCATTGCACAAAACCCCAATCCACTTTCCCAGGACATTCCTCTACAGGACCTCTCACCCTGCTCTGTCTACGCATCTAAGTTGTGTGTGCCCTTTTCCCAGAAGCCTTGTCCACCCCAACCCCACCAGTGGAAATCCCTCCACAGACCTGTTCTCCTCCTCCTCCTCCCCTATGACATCTTCGTATCCTTTCAGCTGCTCCAAGCCTCTCCTCTGGCCACCTTCCCACTCTGCTGGGCACTGTCGTGGGGGACAGTCTGCCCTCTGGTCCTGCTACCAGTGGGCTTCTCCATGTCAGAACCACATTTTCCCGTCTCCTTCTCACCCGCTTTGCCAGGCACAGCTCAGCTGTTCCAGAAAGGTTTGGAAGTCAACTAGCATCAACTCCATCTGCCTGTAAATTTAAAAATCCAAAGTAGACCCTAGTTTTGGAGAGTCAGCTAACCTATCCTCTTGAGACAAGACTGGCAGGTAAGGATACAATTACCTTCCTCCTGCCTGACTCAGAACTTCAGCAGCAGCCCCAGAGGGATCACACTGCCCTCCCCAGAGTGCCGCCTCCACAGTGCAGCCCAGCTGCAGCCTCCCATCCAATGTAGCTGCTGTGCAACCCCCCACCCCTGTCCCCTCAGTGGCATCCACCAAGCCTATTCCTCCCAGCCCATGAAGAAGAATCCCATCCACAACTATGTAAATTCTGGAACAGAAAAATTATACATTTGCTGCAAACATGGGGATCTACATGGCACCATGCACCAGCTGGACGGGTTTTTAATCCCTGAAGTAGTGAGTCATATTAGTCCATTTCTTGCTCCAAAAAAGGAATGAGACGACCTCACACATATCCACCAGCCCTGCCCTGGGAAAATAGGGGACACACCACCTGTGACACCTCAAAGTTCCTGTGTCCCCAGAGTTGTCTTATCTATGCATGTCCATGTAGGAATTCACATAAAAACAATACCCACATTTCCAAGACTCCGGTTGACTCTCACTGCCTAGCTCCCACTGGACCAGGGCATCGACAGCACCAAGGTTAGGTGAGGAAAGCAAACTTCCTGTGGTAGCCACCTTCTCTCACTTGCTCACCTTCCTAGAGAATAATGCAGTGGAAGTCATGGAAAGTCGAAAGAGAGGGATTAGGTTAAACTAGACGTCCCTCCCCAA